ATAAGAAAACGCGTGAGTAAACCTCGAGAATGTTATGATGAAATGGAGAGGCAGGAATCAAAAGTGAAAGAAACAATAACAGTAAAAAGAGGAAAGTCATAATAGTAATAATAATGATAGCAATAATAATAGTGATAAATTGATGGTATTGATGACATTGACAGTAATAAAAATAATGTAAATAATGGTAATAATAGTAATAATAATGAAAATAATGAAAATGATAATGAAAATAAAAATAATAGTAATAACAATAATAATGATAGTAGATAATAGTAGACTAAGGGGAAGCAGTAATAAGGAAGAGTTAAAAAAAAAATAATAAATAAAAGAAGATAATAAGTAAAAAAAGATGGTAAGAACGTGCAGAAGGAAAGCAACTCTGTGATTCACTGCACCATGCTAATTCGGCATTTTTGAAGAGTTATGTGAGCGAAACATCCGGGATACATAAGATGTTAAAGTGCAATTTCCCAAAATTTCATGAGGAATGTTGCAGGCGAAGTTGTCATTATCCGGCAACTACTGGTCCGATGAATTTCCGCTGGATGCTGTTGGGAATGCGGGGCGTATCAGTTGCAAGGATGAGAATGGCAATGAGCATAGTGTAGCACTGGAGATAAGCATGTGTCAATCGGGTTTAACCAAAGTAATCACATTCCTCCCGTTCTATATGCTTCACAATGAAAGTCAACATGCTTTGGAAGTACGCGAATTTGGCGGACAAAACTGGTTTGCCGTGGCACCACAAACGGTAAGCGATAACGAAAATCACTTTTTTTTTCCCCTCATTATCAGTGTTGATAACGGACGGATAGTTGGAATTTGTGTCGGTGTTTCTTTTTTTGTTATTGATGGCAATTGACGGGTAAATACTTTTTTCATACAAATATTTTGGGGTAGAATTTTTTTTCCATTTATCAGTACTGATAATGGGAAGACACTTGTTTTCCGTTATCAGCACTAGTATTAAGTAAATACTTTTTATTACTTATATAATCCGATTGTAACAACCAGCTTGGCCCTGAAAGCCTAAATGACGAAGACGAGATAAATTACAGCATGAAAGAACAGGATGAGAAAGGAAGGGGGTAAGAGTGAGATAAGATGTTTCGATGAAGTACTGCTGATAAGTAAATGCATTTCCTTTTTTAGCATTACTAATCATTGGTGATAAAATTAGCTGCAGGAAGTTTAGGTGATAATTAAATCCTAAGATTACGTTGTTTAACTGATTTGTTCGTTTAATGAAAAAAAAAAAAA